ATAGAAAATGATAAAACGGGAGATTGATACATACCGCCCCTGATATAGTAGAAGTTTTGTAGTCTAGATACCTTGTTTTTATGGGAGTATAATCCAATTCGGCAATGGTAGTTTCGCATACATACATCCCTATTTACCGTCATTGCCGTAATTGTACACGCGATCTTAATTAATTTTGAATAACTGACCGCTGTAGTTCCATTAGTGAAGACTTGGTCCTAGGTTCCTGAACACCAAATGAGCCGCCTTGGAATCGCTATGCATTGGATGAAACAGAGCAGAGACGTTTACTGCAGACGTAAACATATTTTTTTGTTACTATTAACAATGATTGACGAAGGCTTAATTGATTCAGGTGACACTAGCACCATGCGACTAGATCGCATAATGTGCTTGGAAGATGTCATAACGGTGTTTCGTGAGGTCAATGAGAAAAGTCCGGTGAGCGACTTCTTCGTTCATTGTAAGGTTTTGTGGCCTCTTTTAAAACGAGAAGAATCGAACGCTTCGCACTTCGCCTTACAAGCTCGAATTTGTGTTTATTCCAATTCCGAGAAAAAATAATAAAAAATCACAAGTATTGTTAGCCGCAGTGTACAAAGTGTTTTCAGTTATCGTTATTGTATTATATGTTAAGATTGATGCAGAAGAAGACGAGCAGTACGAGCAGCTACGCGACCTGGAACTCAGCGACACTGTCCTCTTTGTACGAGCAGCAGCGTGAGTATTACTTAGATATAGTGACTGTTAGTTTCATCTAGCAGGGCGTAAAATATCTTCAGTATCATGAAATTATGCCAATCTTCACCGTTCGCCTTCTACTGCGCATACAGCGAGTTCTTGGCATTATTGCGCGCGTATGCTGCCGCATACTTAACATCTGCGGACAGGTTTAGGATTGGTAGATCATGAGGAGCCATTGTGGAAGAAGTTTCACCTCAATCTTTCCACTTTAGCAAATCCAGGTTTTAGCTGAGTAAGCTTATTCGGTGATATCCATGAATGAACACACTGAAACGTAATTGGGACTGCTAACAGCTCCACACTTCTTCTTTCTTCTTCTTCTTCTTCTTTATCTTCGCCATGGTCCCGCCGTAAGCACGGTAGGCTGTGCTGCATTTGTGTTCCCGTTTGACATGACCAGCTGCTTCTTGTAGTTTGAGCTTTGCAACATACAGGCCGCTTCGGATGGTGTCCAACCACCGCTGCTTCGGCCGGCCACGTGGTCTTTTCCCCTGTGAATCTAGACGAGTGCTGTATTTGCTACTGTATTATCTTCGCTTCGCAAAACGTGACCATATCATCGTAATCTGGCACCGCGCATCTTATTCACGACAGCTGCAACTCCAAAAGTGCCGCACATCGGTGTTCGTGACGCAGTTTCTTCGCGTT